CCTCCCTCCCTCCCTCCCTTCTTTTTGGAGTGCTTCCTCATAAAAAAACTCACTATGTATCATGAAAAATAAGTAGTTTTCTCCTTAGTTTTCTTTTCTGTATGCAAGGAATGTATTAAATTAGTGCTTGGAAGACTGTTTATTCACCCCCTAAAAATGCATATCAGTGGTACAAATCTGCTCTGGCAAAGCAAAGGGCCTATTCTCTAGTCCGTTCTCACAAGCTAAATGGCAAGATCCATTAAAACATCACCTGTTTCTTCACAGCATCAATTTCACTTCGCAGTCTCTGGACCATCCGATTAAGATCAGAAATTTCTGTCTTTACGCTGCGAAGGTCATCCCCATGGCGCCCAGCAGTCACTTGTAGCTCTTCATACTGACATTCAGAAATAAAACAAAGGTATTATCAAAACAGAGGAAATGGAAAAGGACCCCCAGCACAGAGGCTGGGGAAGGCATTCTATGATGTGGGGGCAAACGTTATTTCAAGGGACTCTTTGTAGATTGAGGAAATGAAGCTACTAGAGTCAGGATCACAGGCCGAGGCCTGAAGTTTGCAGTTCGGAAACACATGTCTTGGCCTTCCTCAGATCCCATCAGCCATGGATGTTTAGCTAGCAGGGTCAAGGAGAAGAGTCTTCTCTGTCATGGCCCCTGCCCTCTAGAACATATTCCCACTTCCTAGAACGGTGAGATCTGTCTACACCCTTCTGACCTTCTGGAAGGGCCTTAAAATTGCCCCTGCTTGACCATCCACTACCATTCCAAAAGGGTAGGCAGGGCTGCCCCCTGGCTTTCATCAATGACCCCCAGAAAACTTAACCTTTAAATGCAGGGTTCAGGAGGCGCAAGTTAAGTCTCTTACAAGTTTGCACTTGGTTTCCCTTGTTGGTATGTACTGGATAGATAACAGATAACAGATAATCAGAGTTGGAAGGGACCTTGTAGGTCATCTAGTCCAACCCCCCCCCCAAGCGGGAGACCCTACACCATTACGCACTATGCTGGAGGTAGCTGATTGAATGACAGACAAAAGGGCACACCCATACCATCCCTGCTTTTGAGTTTTAATCTTTTATTTAATTATTGTTAATTTTAACACTTTTTACGCTTTTATATTTATGCTTTTATGTTGTTGTAAGCCAGCCAGAGGCACTCTAGATCAGGGATCCCCAAACTTGGCAACTTTAAGACTTGTCGACTTCAACTCCCAGAATTCTGGGAGTTGAAGTCCACAAATTTTAAAGTTTCCAAGTTTGGGGATCCCTGATCTAGATAGAGTGATGGATATAAATAAATAAATAATAATATGAATGAATGAATGAATGAATGAGCAGAAAGGAAGCCACGTGAATGTTAGCCTGATGGTCACAAAGACACAGTGAAGGAAGGGGGAGCAAACTTCTCACCCTCCTCCTGCTTTATCATATGCTCCTCCTCTGTACCTGTAACTATCCCAGACCCAAAAGAAAGTTGGTGAACAACGTTGAAGCATTGGACCAAAGAATTCTCTCCATTGGACCCAGGTCTCTCCAAGTCTGTGGCCTGTCAATGCAGTTATTTTTAGAGTCCCTCTCCTCTCCTTTCCTCTCCTCTCACTTCACTTCACGTCCTCTCCTCTCCCCCTCCCCACCAACCACAATGGTTTCCGGCAGAAGGATTTGGAGGAAACAGAAATGGCCTATCCCAGCTCTCATTTATTTGCCTGTGACTTGTTCCTCAGGCAATTTGGAAGGGGACTAAGCCTTTCACCTGAGACACCTGCCTACATTCACCCAATCCTGAGCCATCACATGTTCTGGAATATGATTGATGGCTGCTGCTCCCACCAGTAGGAAACGCCCTGGGCGGGGAAATGCACCCAGGTGAGTGCATTAGTCTTTTTCCTTCTCATTCGCCCATTAAACCTGGAAGGACAGCGCCACACGCCGGTACAATTGATGTTGGCATAATTTTGTCAAGGATGGGAAGACAACATATTTACAACCTGCTGCCCTCTAGTGCAGGGAATTCTGGGAACTGTAGTCCAACCAATCTGGAGGTGGCCTGATTATGAAAAGTTGCTCTAGGCCTTTAATGAATTTATTATTCTAGCTACTAACCTTGGTTTGATACCATGATTCGGCCTCAGTCCGGCTCCTGTTGGCAATATCTTCATACTGCGCCTTAACCTCAGCAATTATGCTATTCAAGTCCAGGCTTCTGTTGTTGTCCATGGACAATACAACAGAGGTATCTGATACTTGCTGCTGCATCTGAGATAATTCCTGCAAAAAAAATTAAAACAAAAACTATGTCACTTGGACACCGAGGCAAAAGTAGTATGGTCATGTTGAAACAGTTATGGAAAAGTAGATTAAGTACCTAACCATGCTAGCGAACTTTCTGAAATCCTAATTCAATTTAGTTTGAAGCCTTTCAATTTATATTCCAATTTGTTTAGTTTAGTTTCTCTTTAGTTTTCTTAGTAATGCCTTTTCTTAGAGTTAGGAATTTTAGGGAAAGAAGGTGTTGTTCCCAATAACTAGAATCCAAGCTTAGTCAAAATATGTTCCGTAACTCATAAATGTTTCCAAAGCAAAGTGATTAATTTCACGCAGAAAAGTTGCCAAGGAAGGGGGTGGATATTTTTTCCATTGCTTGCTAGAATCAAGTCCAGACTAGAGAGCCCTGCAGTGTGGAGGTACCTTATTTAAATATAGTTCCTGTCTTGATCCAGGAATAGCTGGAGGAAATTGAGTCTATATTGCAAAAGATGCAATAATTGATGTCATTAAGTCTCTGCTTGCCTTAACATTTAGTCAGCTCTTCAAACACATAACCAAACAGGTGGAAACTGGTGAACGGAAGATATCTTTGGAAGTATATCCTTTCTAAAGGAAAAACTGATCTAATATTTTCTGCAGTGGAACATTAAGAAATATACACAACAAGCTTCAACAAATCAGTCTGCTATGATCATCTTAGGAATTCTCCTCATTTTTTTAGCATTGCTAAGAAAATAGTATTATATAGCTTTCCCCCTGCTTATTTTTTTTCTTAATGAAAAAAAGATTCACTGACATCTTTCTGCTGCATTAAGTTGATGTGCTAACAAATAACCATTTTCACTGAGTAAGGTGAGATGGTCAGAGATAGAAAATGTCCATAATCAGAGACTTCAGATCGGAGAATTTATCAAGTTTCAGAGTGATACATAACATTTTGAATACATTCAGTTCGGTCTAGTGGTTAAGTTGAGGTACCAAGCTAGAAACCAGGACTTCTAGTCCCACTTTAGGCATGAAATGGCTGGGTGATTTTGGACCATTCACTGTCTTACAGCTCAATCCACTTCACAGGGATGTTGTGAGGAAAATAGAGGTGGAAGGAATATTATGTATGTGCGCCATCTTGAGTTTCTTATAGAAAGAATAAAGGTGGGATTAAAAATATTTTTAAAATATTTTTTATTGGTATTGAAAGGGAACTGGTATTTCTGTTAATAAAAATAACTTGTTTTGTTTTCAGTAGCATTTTTTTCAATTCTTCTTTCAATATATTTATAGCCTACGTAATGGCAAATAGAAATATAAGGGAATTAATTAAAGGGATGAGAGATAATATAGTCTATGATCTCTGGTAGTACTATAGTTCATGCCTTGCATGTATAAAATGCCATATTCAATTCCAAGTGCTTCCAATTAACAGATCTTGGAAAGATTTGCCTTTAGTCAGATGTAGAAGATTAGATTTAGATTTAGATTTACTAAGGCTTTTTCTAAGATTCAAGCTTAGGTTTACATTAAGAACTAAATTCTCTAGTCTTCTGATTGAATATAGACTCAAGCTTAGGTTTACATTAAGAACTAAATTCTCTAGTCTTCTGACTGAATATAGACCTAGAGTTTATTTTAAGTTTAGAAATAGAACCTTTGATAACGTAATTAAGGAAACTTACCATTTCAAACAGGGCTTTCAAGAACTCAATTTCATCATTCATTGAGTCTGATTTGCTAGCAAGTTCAATCTTGTTCATGTAGGCACCATCCACATCCTGCACAAAACAAAAGAAAAGTCTGCTACATTTTGAGCAGAAAACAAACTTGCTCACCTTAATACATTCAAGTGTTCTTTTTCATCTCATTGAGACCCCAATACTGTAGGCAAATCCATTACCTTCTTGAGCACGACAAATTCATTCTCCGCCCCTGTTCGTCTGTTAATTTCCTCTTCGTATCTGTCAGACAAGATGGACGAATGATAGAATTAGCAATAGGCATAGGTTGCAATATGAGAACTGAGCATTACTTCAGACAGACCATACGTGAGGCAGCTAAATCCACATCTTATCAGTGCATTCTAGAAATCTTCATAGTCTATGCCACCTGAATTATTCCCTTGAAAGTTAACCTATTTTCTTTTCAGAAGACCAATCCTTGGAATTCCTCCAGCTGCTTCATGCGTGATATATTTTCAGAAACACAATGTTCATAGGCAAGCACAATGAATTTCAGGTACATCTTTTATTTTTCTGTTATAGTTAGTGAGAGTAGCTGTGTACTCTGATATGCACATTGTTGTGATCCATTAATTTGGCACAGTCTTTAATTTTGATGTGGCTTTAAAACGCAAGGGAAATTTTAAAATGCTGTCTTTGACTTGAAATTGAATGTCACATTTTAAGGTCAGGTCTTCATTACAGCTTTTAATTGGTTTCACATTACTTTTTCCAATGGGAATCCTGATATGTAGTTTGGTGAACAGGTTTGGCAAACTATCAATATACAGCCTATACCTTAATTCCCGGTATTTTATAGGTAGAATCATAATTACTATAGCTACCTTAAAATTAAGGCACAGTAATGGTGAAGTGAAGTCCTTGAGTGTTCAAACGCTTAACCTAATTTTGATGCTTCTGGCTTGGCTCAGGAATAATTGTTTGAAGCCATAGGTTGCAAATGCAAAACCCACAGGTTTGGAGGGAAAATACATCATATTCAACATTCTTATCAGATAGGTTGGAGCTTCTTACTTAATGTTCATCCCAGCTAGCTATCTGACACATAACTTATAGAATGTTCCTAAAGGCCATAAGAGAGACTGTTATAAAAATGTACGCTTGTGCAAAAGTCTGAATGAAGTATTTAATTTGTAGCGGTGCATAATTTAATTTGCAATTCTTTTGTGGGGTTTGGCAAGGTAAACTTGTACATTGCAGGCATCCCTCTGTGAAACCTCGTAACATAAAGCCAAATCAAACTATCCAGGAGCAAAGGTGGGGCTGGAATGAACAAAAGAAGGATGGGAGGGTTTTGCAAATTAGCAGATTAATTCTGAACAGTTTGGTGCCTGACTTTAGCCCTAATCTGTTTTGCCTTTGAGCATGTGGATTTCTAAACTTGAATTAGTTTGAACCACACAGAAAAGAAGGCTGCATGATTAAGGGGGAGTATGGAGAAATTAAGCTTTGGTATAGGATTGCAAACTACTGAGTAGAATCTATTTTGACCCTTTTCTACTTCTGTTTGCTATTTAGCAACCTATTGCATACTTGTGAAGTAGTTAGCATTTGTTGATCTCATTCTGAAATAATGTTCACTAATGTTCACAGCCAAAATTTAGTCCCCCAAAGCTTTTCTACGCTTCTAAGAACGTAAATAATTTGGTTAGGCATGAGGTTCACAGATCAGATTTACCGCTCCATGTAAGCCTTTATCAATCTGAATAAATATGTTAATAATGAGGATTTGGGAAGCACCTACCTTGGAACTTGCATTTGATTCACATCAAACAGGTGAAACAAAACTCTCAAAACTTTTAGAAAAGGAAAGGAGAGGTGTTGTCTGCCATCTGGCTAGCTGATTTTATTTCGTTATTTCATTTTTTTTAAAAAAAACTTGTACAGCCATATACCCAAAACTCCCCAAATCCAGGTTTTTGTGATAGGAATGCAATGCAAATGCACAGGGTTCTTCCCACTAGATTGAGTTCATACTGCTCGTTGGATGGTTTGAGGTGAACAGAGAATGCTTGCTATTTTATGCATCCAGATAATTAGTATCGGATTCTTTGCATTTACTATATCTGGCAGTAAGCCCCTTTGGAATGAATTGCATGGGATGGGGCTGTATATTCAGCAAGAAATATCAACCTTTTATGTAGACATAAGCTAAAACATCACGCCAGGCATTGCAATACGTTTTGGATTTCCAGACAGTCAGGAATTTGCTTAGAGTGGAAACCTTACAATTATCCTACATAAACTGCTTTAGGCAGAGAAATCAGGCAGAACATCGAAATCAAAATCTGCTTTTATCCTGTTTTTTTTTTTTTAAACCAATGGACTTTTGGCGATTGTTTCCCCAGCTTTGAGAGATGGAGATTCTGCTCAGTGATTACATAACGGTTCAGTCTAGCCTAAGCCACTCTGGTCTCCATCTTGCCAGTTTCAGCCCTTTCGATGTGTTAGACTGAATGGAATAGAATGGAAAACCGCTTACTTGTTCTTAAAGTCCTCCACCATGTCTTGCATATTCCTCAGCTCCATGTCCAGTCTTCCCCGTTCATTTGACAGAGATTCAAGTTGTCTCCTGAGGTTGTTAATATATCCTTCAAAAAGAGGCTCAAGATTGAGTCTCTGAACTTGGGTCCCCTGCTGTTGTAAGAGATCCCATTTGGTCTCAAGGACTTTGTTTTGCTGCTCCAAGAATCGGACCTGCAAGATGGAACAAAGAAAGACATGGAAATGGAAGCATGGAAGCAAAGTAACCCTTTAGTGGGGAGAACTCCTCTGGGAAAGAGATGAATGGATGGCCACCCCGCTTTTGGGTGACAATTTGGCCCTTGCTCCAGTTAAAACAAAACCTGAATGATTTCTCTCGCCCACCCACCCTCAATTCTCTCTTGTCCCTTCTCACGGGGTAAGATTGGAAGCGCCTTGGAGCAGAAAACCATCTTCTGCAAAGTCCCACATCTCTAGCTGGTGTCAACCATGTACAGAACAAATCAAGCAAGAGAACAAATCAAAAGCAACGGGGTGGGGTGGGGGACCAAAAAATAGCAAAGGAGGCTGAAAAAAGGAAGGGGGGAAAAAGGGTGGGGGACTCCAAAGAAGATTGTGAAAGCTAGCAGGGAACGGAACCGCTGTTCCAAGTGACATGAAAAATAAGTTTAAAAATATATACTTTTCAGAATGCTCATTTAGCAGTTATGTTTTTATCCTCCATAACCTAGTCTTCATGGCTTCAGTGAAATCACACATACCAGTCTATAGGGTGCAGAGAGCCCCTAACATGGCAAAGAGATTGCAACACCCAAAGCAATGATAGAATATTACATATTATCATGCTCCTCTCCCAAACAATACCAAGCTGCAAGCTGGATTAATAACGGTATTATAATTCGGGTGTGAATTCCTTTTGTTATCTGCAGTGAATATATGAAGCATCCTTTTTTGGCCTCAGCGCTTACCATATCTGTGTCATCTATTTTTAAACAATGTTTTTAATAAATTGGCCTCAGTCAGGGTTGATATTTGTGGATTCCACAAAGGATACAAACTGAGTACACGAATCCAGAAAAACAGAGGAAATAACTGCTTTATTCTCACCTCTGTAATATTCAAGAATGGCACCATTGACTTTGAAAGTCACATGTTTAAATTATCTAACATTGGGGCCTTACTTTTTCAGCCCTTTCATTATTTTACATGACCCTTCATCCTCAGAATAAAAAACCTTAATTGAACAATTTGATGGTGGCAATGACTTTGGACAATATTAGAAATAATTGTCTGCTGCTCTTTTGCCTATATCAGATGTGACCTTATCAGAGAACACCCCAAAATAACAGATAAACAACCATTGGATTGGTGACTTGAGTTTGTGAAGGGTTGCTTCAAATTTAGGGGCCCCAAAGGTCAAGTAAAATCACCCCCTCTTACCTTGTCAATGAAGGAGGCAAACTTGTTGTTGAGAGTCTTGATCTGTTCTCTTTCTTGAGAACGCACTCGCTGAATCTCTGGGTCAATCTCAAGGTTGAGAGGTTGCAAGAGGTGCTGGTTGATGGTCACTTCTTGGATGCCACCAGGGGGGCAAACTGGAAAACCTGGACCACCTCTTACAAAACCTGATCCACCTACCAGAAAGCCCCCAGCACCTCCACCCATGCCATAGCCAGCTCCACCTGCACCCATACCATAACCAAAACCAGCTCCTCCACCAGCTCCTCCACCAAGGCCGTATCCTCCACCGTAACCAGATCTTAGACCTCCACTAACTCCATAGGCAATTCGTTTGCTTCCACCCATGTTGTGCAGGCTTCGGCTGCCAAATCCACCAAGTCCATAGCTGCCACCCCCTCCACCTCTTGCTCCTCCAACTCGAGAGACTGAGTAGGAGCTGAAACTGTTTCTCCCACCACCACCACCAACAATTGCAGAGCCGGAGGTAAAGCCTCTGTTAGCTCCTCCGGAGGATGCTCGATAGGAAACACGACTCATGATGGTTTGCTTGGAGAGAGAAGATGAAGAAAGTTTTGGATGATAAGCAGCACTGCAGAGGAAGCAGAGGAAGAAGAAGGCAGAACCTCTCTGATATAAAGGAGCAGGAAACCTCCCCTTTTATCTGTTTGGGAAAGAACCTGGCACAGAACTTGAGACAATTGGATACTCAAACACTTGATGTGCCTTGCAGCAACTTGTCTTCTGTGACACGCCTACTTCAGTTAACGCAACACTACAGAACTGGTGTAAAGAGTTTGTGTGTGAGAGAGAAAGATCTTGAAGGGATCAACACTTTTCCCTTTTTTAGTTTTAATTTTTAGGAGACTGTTTCATTAGCAAGAAAGCAAATAAAAAGGAGAGCATAATAATTACAAGTCTGCATATCTACTCTCTGGCTACTCAACTGTTTTAGTCAAATGTAAGGAAAGCAGCTACAATTCTGATCATTACAAAAATATGTCATATATGCATTTCCCCCCCCCCCCCAATCTGTCAAGAGTTGTCTAGAGTCTTCAGCATGTTGGGCACTGGGAACAAACCTGTGGGGGGGGACCAGACACCTCCTTACAGTAAATTAACTATACTTGGGTCCATAGGTGGTCCTTTGTGAGCTGCACCAGGTCCCTGGAGCTAAAGTTTTTGCTGTGCACATTCAAAGGATTGGATTGCAGATAATCTGCATACAATGCGTATGTTTTGACACTGAGGATGGTCAATAGTAAGATATTCCATAGTTAAGAAGGTCGCAACTCAGTTCTCTATTCCTTGGAGCCCCATTTGCTAGATTTCCTTTTACAGGGGTTTTTTTGGGGAGTGGGGTGGGGAGGGGAGTGCCAATATGTATTGTATTCAGTGGCATTACTCCCTATGTGTGTTTTCAGGACTACAATCTACACCTTTGGCACATCGCTAATGACCCTTGTGTAAGACTTTGTGCATTTCTGTATAGGTGGCTGTAGGTGCCTGCATTCCATTGTAAAGATCTTCTGTCAAACAAGTCCTGAAGTTACTGTTGTTTGGGAGTACTGCAATATAGGATCAGAAGGGTCTTTAGCTCAACTTGTGGTTTGTCTATACTGCAGATTAGAATATTCCTTAAAAAAGCAAGGAATGGCACACCTTTCTATCATGATTTAGCGGAATGTTTCCAAAGGATAATTGCTATTGGACTGTGGGTTTGACCGCTTTGGGAAATTAAAAGCTCTCCTTTGTGGAAAAGTACTTAAGCAGAAGCTACACAACTAACTCTCAGGGAAGCTCTAATTGCAAGATCATACGCAAGTGCAGATGGACAAGATTATATCTACCGGCTATGAAATTTTATGTTTTTATCTGTGATCTTTCACTCCTGTGAAAAGAAGGAGGACCATTGCATGGAGGAAAAGATTCTGCTGCACTGTTCTTACATATATGTTTTGGTTTAAATATCAAGGTGTTTTTTTTTTTTAAAAAAAATGTGGCTTAAGAAAATATATATATTTTTTAAAAAAGCTTTAGGCCACTAACGTCAACATTTTTCCACTCTGACTTGTTTTTGGCTCGTACAATTGGCTTTTTATTTAAACAAAGAAATACATTTATTAGAAATAATATTTATATTGATCACAAACATTTGAATGAAAAACAACCTGATGTTGAATGCTCCCCATCACCACTACCCACAAAGATTCTGAGGGGAATTGTCTATTAAATAAATATCGCTTTTATTATTAATACATTTAGTTTTGGCAAGAAGACTGCTGTTTTATGTTTATTATAATTAAAGGAACATTCCCAGAGCCGATTTCTACAAAGTATATATCTTCCTTTGTCTCGCTCTGTTCATACATGCAGGCACATGCACCTTATAATTTTTAAAATCATTTATTCTGAAATAGTCTCGGTGGCATTACTCCAGAACCAAAGACTAGAAAATTAAAAGAAAGTCATAAAGAGCAAATTTTGACAGTGAGAGGTAATTTTATGTTGTCCTTTCCCATAATGAATTGTGGCCCTAAGAGAACCATGGCTTTTAGGAAAAATTGTGTGCAGGAGGAATTCGTCTTTTAATTGATCAGTTCAAAATCTGAAAACTGTTGAGGCTGGATGCTTCTTTTTGACTGTGCAAATGAATCACATTGTGGCTTCTTAATCCTAAAAGAAGTTTGAAGGGCATGTCATGCTGCTACATTCCAGCTAAATGAGTCTTTTCTGGATCCGAAACCATTAGGAGGCCTCACAGAAGTGCTACCCCCAGTAGCTGACATATGCAACTTTATTGCATTTACATACAGAGAAGACAGGTATGTGGTAAGACTAGTAGAATGGGCAGATCCATCCCAGAAGAATAAGAATTTGCATAAGACCTGTGAAATGCAAGCCTATCCAAACTTGAATGGCTGCAGTGCCATCGGCATTGTCCCATCATTTTGAAGTCTTTCCGAGATTTGGTGGTGATATGAATTGTTACTGGGGTTGGTTTTTCCCCCCGCCTTCCTCAGAGACTATTGAGAATCTTGACAGAACCTGGATCGAAGTGCCAATTGCTTTCCTCATAGCATTCTGAAGAGTCTTTCCAAGCATTCCTGTCGCTATGCTTTGCCAGTAATTTGAGTCATTCACACCTGAGGCACAGCAAAGTATCTTTCATTGTACAGGAGGATTATTGAGAAGGAAACCTCAACCGCAAGGGAAACTTATGCTGTAGCAAGGGGGTGCTGTCACCTTGGAAGTGAAGGAATCGAGTGCACCTTAATTCTTGTATGATTTGTATGCAGTTTTGTCCCTCCCAGCTGTTCCTTGGGCAGAAGTCAATTCAGAAATTGAAATGAAAAAGTATTCAGTGTGGGATTTAATGCTGAACAATCAATGGATGCGCATACTGTATATTTCAATAAGTACTTCTTATACATTATGAACTCGTAAGAGGCACGGTCTTTCAATATTACAGTGCTTGCTCTGCATTGATCAAAGCCAATCACAAATCCAAATATTTCAACTAAAGAAGAATCTGAGGTGGCATAGCTATGGCACCAATCAATAGACCAAAAGGTGGATTAGTGGTTGGGTGAAATGATTTATTTTAAATACAATGGACTTCTTCTTATTGCTGTGGTGAGTTCTGTATTCCACATGCTTTGATTCAGATAAAAAGCCTTACAAAGATGGATCTGAATACTCAACATCCAGAAGGTACTTGTGATTTTCCCAATTTGATTTGCAATAGAAAGTTGCAATGCTGTTGTGTTGCCTGGAGGAAAAAAAAAGCAGTGGAAGAAAACACTTGAGATGAAATGTAAATTGTGCACTCTATGCAATCTTTGTAAGAGATTACTGATACTTGGAAGACGAAAAAGAATAGCCCCCCAAAATTGGGGTACTTTGAAGCCTCTGCTCATCAGACACCAGGCTCCCCAACTTAATTGTTTTTCAGAAGAGACAAGCAGACACATGAAACTGTCTATTCTCTAAATTACATTTAAAAAACCTGGAAAGGGATGAGGAAACCCTGGGTACTTATTCAAAGTTCTACATACTTCTTGCATCAGACATCCGAGATATTCCAGCTGGATTGTTTTTCATAAGAGGTATGCAGATATTATCTATTGATTCCCTTTATTACAACAATGCAGACGGGCTTTGTATCGCCTTAGTAAAAGGCTGGATGGTCTCTCAAAGATGATGTAACTCATTGGTGAGGAAACGGACAAGGGTCCTTGTCTTCCATTCCCCAATCCTAATACTGTATTTTCATCAGGTTTAGTTCTTTTAGATTGTTTTAAAAAAATAATTTAGTGCAATTACATTCTTTCCCCCTATGGAAGGAAACACACTTGCTGAATAAGGTTTAAATGGCTTCTTTAGTGTTGCATCATATTACTAACAATGACCAACGAAAACAAGAGCAGTATGGTCAAATTTTCATCAAAGCTGTGAAATTGGTGTTAGTTATAGATGGTTTCCAATCAATGAACCTTACCAGTAAACCTGTTGAATTAACGTATTGCTCTGTGGCATATTAGGAGGCCATATTGTAATAATCACATTTTTAAAAAACCTGGTTCATAGTTTTCCCAATATCTAGTTGTTTCCTTTGAATCATCAGCTTGAGGTATTTGTTAATTGTCTTGCACTGGTTTCATGCAAATCCTCACCAAGCTTGCCTGCAATGGCTTGAAACTTTTCAAATTGCATAAACGTAGTGGAAAGGTCACAAATGCACAGGGCTGATCACAACTCATATCTGTGAGTTATCTTATACATTATACCATACCTATCAATATATTAGGACTTGAAAAAGAGACATAAATTGCACAATATGCCATGCTTTTTTTGGCTTTTCCTTCTAGTATATATTTTTTCAAGACCTAAAGGCATAGGTTGAACAAAGCAAATATTGCTAAGCGAGACTGAAGCAAGATTTGCAATTATGGTGACAGTCATCTCTAATCCTTAAGGCGACAGTCTTCTCTAATCTGCAATCATGAAGTATTTTTTTTAATAATGAGTGAGAAGGAATTGGTGATCAGATGAATATTTTGAAGACCACATACCACACAACTGGTCCAAATACAGCACTCCTGCTGTGAAAAGGGAATTGAAGCCCATGAGTTCCGTGAGAGAACAGAGGAGGTATATATTATTTATTATCCCGTCACTTGAACTCATACATATAATCTGTTCTTGTGGTCTCCTAGAGACTGGAAAGATGTGGGGAGAAAACCCAATAAGATTTTGCACGTGCACAGAGTCTTGTTTTTTTTTTTTATGGGGATGAAAGTTTGAAGTAGCAGGAAGTTAAGAGCAATGGAGTTGGGCTCTAAGCAAAACAAGTAAATGAAGATGGAATTGAGTAGTCACTATCTGCTGAAGAAATGCAAGTTTTAGACTGATTCCAAATCAGTGGTGAGGCAGAATAAGAGGATGTTATAGTATGGGTTGGGCGAACTCTGCACATATCCAGAGGGAAAAAAGTTTCCAAAGACACAAGAAAGAAGATCCTCATTGTGTTAACCAGCAATAGGACTTAGACTTATATGCCACTTCACATTTATAGCCCTCTCAAAATGGTTTGCAGAGTCAGCATATTGTCCCCTCCAACAATCTGGGT